AGTGTATTGTCAGCACAAATTGATTGAGTTCAAATCAGCAACACATCCGGGGTCAAACAGGCAAAGATCTGAAGCCGCAAAGTATCTGATGATAACTCCTCATTTTCAAATAGACGGAGTCTGCAAAATTAGTGTCCTCCATGAGAAAAAATCCTGTAAAACCTAAGGATTATTTTATATTAATTCAGAACTCAGGAAACACGAGTTTATAATATTTTAAAACAACCAAACAAATAAAAATACCCTAAAACTATGGGGTAAAACTATGGCATCTTTTTCTTGAAAAGCAGCATACATTAACACTGAGTTGGATTAAATGAGGCATCATGGTGTTAGATTTACTCTAGAGAGGAAAGGTAATTTTTTTTAAAGGCACTGGGCAGGGATGCAGGAGAAGTAGGTGCTGGCCCTGCCATAGATCTGCTGTGTGTCTAACCTTGGAAAATTAACAAGCTCCATGACTGGGATTCCTTAGTACTATCACAATAGAAAGAAGAAATAATGATGTGTAAGTGGGGCAATGGAACTAACTTGTGCCCACCATTTTTTTCTGTGTTGTGCATTTAGATTGTGAATTTTTTGGGGCCGAGCTGCTTTCACAACGCTTATGAAATTGAGCCTGCCAGGGAGACTGTCTTGGGGCCAAGAACCCCAGACCCTGGCTCCACAGCAGACACCCATGGTACCTACACTAAATGGAGAAACCTTGGAGGTCCTTGTTTCTGTGCTTCTGAGGCCTCCCCATGCAGATTGCTTCAGGATCAGGTATCTTGAGAGTTTCCAGGATCTGTTACCTGGAGGCTTTTAAATTTGTGGGCCAGCTGGCTGTCCAACAAGGCTGGAAAGCAAGCTGCCCACAAAATGGATAACTCCAAAAGCCAGCTCTCCTGGGTGTCTGATCCTCAGTTTCTGCACTTCTGAATCCACAGCAGAAGGTTGGGAGCTCCAGGTGAAGGAGTTCAGGTCTTTCAGCCTCCCTCCCGTGGAGCCTGGCAGCGCTGGGACTTTCTTTCCAGGGTTTGTGGCCCCAAGACAGCCCTGCCCCTCTGCAGGCTGTCTCAGAGTGCAGGACCTTAGGGCCTTTGCACACATGGTTGTGCCACAGCGCCGGGCGCTTTTAAAAGCCCCCAGCACTGCGGCACATGCATTTGTATAAATGGTGAAATGTGCATCAGCACTGAGAAAATGGCAGCAGCACGCTTTTGAACTAAAACACATCATAAGTATTAGAGTTCAAAAGCCCACCACTGCCGTTTTCTCAGCACCGGCTCACATTTTGCTGTTTATACAAATGTAGGCACCGCAGCGCTGGGCGGGTCAGCTTGCACGCAGAGCAGGTTCGATAAATTGAGTCAGCTCTGACGGACTGGATTTCCAGCACATTGGAGCAGACAAATGTATGTGTATAAATGCCCTTAGGTTCAACAGGTTCCCTGGGAGGTCTGACTCCTGTGCTCTGGAGAGCAGCTGCTTTAAGCATCAAGCAGCTGAGCTGGCCAGATGCTCCGAGTCTCCAGTTTTGTGGCAGTCTACATGGCATGGATCCTAGCAGCCCGGACATGCGTCTTGCCAGTTGCCTGGCTGCCCACTACAGAATAGCGACTGTGAGAGTCTCAGCTGTTTTGTGGTGGGAGCAGTGAAGTTGAAAAGTATCAAGTTGGCTATAGTTACTAGGCGTCAAGTCCCATATTTGCAGAAACCCCACAAATCAAGACTCCTGAAACAAATTTTTATAGAAATTTGTTTTTGCGGGACAGTTCAGAGCATTGAAATTTC